GTTGTACATAAATGCATTCTTTATATTGGTAATCTTGACTTAATGTCAATGATTCCTGAAATCATGCTATATGTAATCTGTAAATAATATAAATAGTGAAAAATCCCCTTTCTCTCCTCACCTTGAGAGAGACTTCATATCCTGGTGCCTAAAACGTTTTTATGGTATCAAAGCCATTCGGTGAGGAAAAGAAAGAGATTACCCTTTAAGCAAACAATGGCTCCTTCAGTTCGTTCCCAATCAACACCATCTTACCCATATCTCGCCACGTTGAATGTGGCTAACTTTGTTTCCTTTCAACTTACTTCAAACAACTATCTTCTTTGGAAAACCCAAATGATGGCCTTGATTGAAAGTCAAGAGTTGTTGGGATTTATCAATGGGGAATATGAGATGCCTAACCCCAAGGTACTTTCAAATGAAAAGGAAGTACCAAATCCAACTTATGCAGCTTGGAGACGGTCTGATCGTCTTCTTCGCGGGTGGATTGCCGATACCTTATCTAAAGAGGTACTTGGAATTGTTGTTGGCCTTGAAACTTCATCAGAAATTTGGAAGGCACTGGAGGATCACTTTGCACAAAGCTTTTAAGATAGGGAGTTTCATTTGATGCAGGAACTTTCAAGTATTCAGAAGGCAGATGATACTCTAAATGAGTATATCAGAAAATTCAAATATATTTGTGATGAACTCTCTACCATTGGTAAGACAATCTCTAACAAAAACAAAGTTTAATGGTTCTTGTAGGGGTTAGGACCGAGTTATGAAAATTTTGTTACAACTATGCTTAAACCCCCTATTCCATCATACAAAGAACTTATCCCTCTCCTAAAAAGCCATGAATCACGTAACTCTCACCATCAACAAAATGTCCCATCTCCTCAAATGGCTTTCCTAACACAAAAATCAAATGGGAGAAATTATTACTACAAAAAGAAAGGAAATGGCCAGAGTTTGTTTAGCTCAAAAGGGAAAGGTTTTCTTCAAACTAGCACTAACAACAAGTCAAGTGTTGGTTTTAAGCTTATTGTAGGGAATTTGGGAAGCACTGAAGCTAAGGCTAGTAGAAAGGAGATTGAAAACGACTTGACATGGTTTGTCAAATATGCAACAAGCATGGTCATGTCTTTTCCTATGCCAATCCAAATATGCTTGTGAACTACTTCAAAAGGCGCAAATGGTAGGCTGTAAGCCCATCTCTACCCCTTTGGCTATCACGGCTCGATCCTCAAAAACTGAATATTTTCCAAATCCCACCTTTTATCGGAGCATTGTCGAAGGGTTGCAATACCTGACCTTTACCAGACCTGATCTCTCCTTTGCAGTAAATCATGTGTCACAATTCATGCATGCTCCCACCTTAGATCACTTTCAATTAGTTAAACATATTCTATGTTATGTTGGTGGCACACTAAATTATGGCATGCATATTTCTAATCAAAGTACATTAGATTTATATGGTTTCTCAGATGTAGATTGGGTTGGTTGCCCATTTACTAGAAGGTCAACCACTGGCGTTTGCACATTTTTAAGTGGTAATTGCATCTCTTGGTGTGCAAAAAAGCAACCTACAGTGGCAAGATCAAGCACTGAAGCTGAATATCGCTCTATGGCATCTACAACAGCTGAACTTACATGGCTTTCTAAACTTCTTACTGATATTGGTTTGCTGCTTCTTAAACCCCCTATCCTTTATTGTGATAACTTAAGTGCTCTTTACTTGACTATTAATCCTGTTTTCCATGCTAGAACCAAGCATATTGAAATAGATTACCATTTTGTTAGAGAAAAGGTTGCATTGGGAAATCTTATCACTCGTTTTGTGAAGTCAGAATCACAAATAGCAGATATCTTTACAAAGCCCAAGCAATGTTTTAAGGAGCTCTGTGTCAAACTTGGCCTCTGTCAACTACCACATAGGGATGGCAATTCTCCCCGGCCCCGCGGGGATCCCCGCCAAGGGGATGGGGCAGGGACGGGGATCATTTTCTCCCCGCGAAATTTCACGGGGAATTTTCCCCGTCTCGTGGGGCCCCGTGGGGATTCCCATCCCTGAAAAAAAAAAGTTTTTATTTTAAAATTAATTTATTCTTTAAACTCAAACCCAAACCTAAACTCAAATTTAATCTAATTACAATTAAATTTAACCCAATACTATCCAACCCAACCCAACCCAACCCATTCCCTTACATTTAACCAATGTTTTTAAACCCGATTTGACCTCTGGTTCATGGTTTGACCGGTTTAATCGATTTAACCGATAAAACCGCCGGTTCATTATATAGTATAAATATAGTATTTTGTAAAGTATTTCACAAGATATCCATTGAGTGCAATGGTAGGTGGTTGCTTTCTCATACCAAAGATCACAAGTTCGAGTACCCTCATGAACAAACTTTAAATAATTATGGTTTTAAAAATATACTAAATAAAATTTCAAGCATCCATTGACAAACCGAGTGCACTGTCCTAGTGGCAAAGGACTGGAATAAACTGAAAGGACTTCAAGGTTGCAAGTTCAAGTTTCATGGGGGACAAATTTCTCAAGCTTTTGTTCTCAAGCATTGAACCGTCCGGTCGAACGGTTTTTCGTTTGAGCGGTTTCAATGGTTTTTATCGGTTTTCAAATGGTTTGATCTTCAAACGGTTTAAAAGATAGAACCAAACCGTTTATACTACCAGGTATCGGTTCAACCGGTTCGACCGACCGATCCGGTCCAATTTTCAAAACCTTGCATTTAACCCTAACCCTAAGTTATTTTAATTCCCATCACTCAATCTCTTTAACTGCAACTTCACACATCTCTCACGTCCATCTCACCTTCAGTTTTCCTGCTGTTGTTGCTGCTGCTGCCACCGGAGTCATCTGCTGTTGCTGTCGAACCATATGCTGCTACCACCACCGGACCCATCTGCTGCTGCTGCTTGTCATAACTCAAATTTTTATCAAAAACAAGAAAAAATCAAAAATATAAAAGTATGAAAATTTCCCTTTTCTTTGACTAATATATCTTTATTTTGTTTCAGGTGCTACATGCAAAAGGAAATTGGAAAATTCCAGAAAAAGAAAGAAGGGACTCAATTGAAGAAA